CATTGTGGGTGCTTAAAGCTTTTGGCCAAATTAAATGAAAACAGGTCCCTTGTTGGGTGTTCCCACAAAAGTAAGGCCATACACAGATTGTGAAGATTCAGAATGCAGGATGATGTCATTTAATGAGTTGGGCCTTTTATTCTGAAATAGAGCTCTTCATAATGATTGAAATTTAGAGCATGGCAGGCCTAGGGGTTTGCCTTCCCCTGCTACTCCCCTAGTAGCAGCAGCCTGTCAGCTGTATGCTAACGAGAGGAACAATTAAACATAGGGTCCTATCTGGCTGGCCCAGTCTCTGAGCTCAGACAAAGGACTGTTTATACACCTGTTGTGTCTGTGGACAGAGCCATTTGAATGGGTAGCTGCAGATTAAAGGGAAGACATGGGAGCCAGTGTGTGAGCAAGGGTTAAATAGAACTTTAAGAACTGTGAAAGTCAAATTCTCCAGAAAATATATGAGGGCCATTGCAAGGGGAATCAAGTTACTAAATAAATAAATAGATAGATAAATAGATAAATAAATAGATAAATAAATAAAGTTCCTGCTGACTTCATTAACATGAAAAACTCCAGACTTAAGGTTTTTTGCTAATCTGAGGCCATTTTTTAAAGATTAATTTTTTTTTTCTTTTGGAAGCCATTGATGAAAATTGGTGTAAAAAAGGTGCTTAGTTTATAGCATTCCAGAGAGACGAAAATATTTGCTGTCATTTATATCCCAAAACAAATTGAGCAACCAACTGATTTTCCTTCAGGCAAAGCACAAATACCTAGAATTTACTTAGATAATGATCTTTTGTCTGCCAAGCCTTTCATCAGAGAGGAAATGATAGAACATTTTTATTAGTTGAGATTCAGAAAATCAGAGAATTAACTTTTACTAATGTAATAAAAAGAAATAAGAATTCAGAAGATGCATCATCACTTATCACTCCAGTGAAAATTCAGTTTGTGGAGCACCTAGCTGGCTCAGTCAGTTAAGCGTCCAACTCTTGGTATCAGCTGTGGTCATGATCTGACGGTCGTGAGATCAAGCCTTGCATCAGGCTTCACGCTGAGTGTGGAGTCTGCTTGGGATTCTTTCTCTCCTCTCTCTGCCCCTACTCTGCTCACTTTTGGTCACTCTCGCTCTTGCTCTCTCTCTCTCTCTCAAAATAAATAAACATTTAAAAAAAGAGTTCAGTTTGTGGCTGTTCAGTGCTATTGGCTTACAGAGCTATAAAATGAGTTGTACACATACAATATAGAGTAAATATACATATTTTTGAAAGTTTAAGTTTTAAAAGACTATTTTTAATTTAAATTTTAGTTAACATACAGTGCAATATTGGTTTCAGGAATAGAATTCAGTGATTCATCACTTACATACAACACCCAGTGCTCATCACTACAAATGCCCTCCTTAGTAACCATCTAGCCCATCTCCCACCTACCTCCCTCTT